GCACCCTGCGAGTGTCAGGATTTCTGTTCGTTTGCACGTGTGTGGTCAGATCGTTTCAAGTGTGATGTTTTTAGTTAAGTATGGAAGTTACTACTGTGCTTTTGGAGGGCAGCCAGAGGGAGACACCCCACTGTCAGAAGAAAGTAGAGCAGAATTGTACTTTTTTGACCAAATTAGTAAGTAAATAATACAAGAACTCAGATAGACAGCGGTCATGGCGGTTGTCCCATATGTGGTGGATTTCTTACTGAGCACCCTGCAGTTGTTCCCCTGTGTTGTTCACTTCAAGAGATTTCCACACTAAAATTTTATGTTACATTACATGTAACATAAAGGCATTACTAGTAATAATATCACTTTCCCCAGTAACTTGTAGTGTAACTAATTACATTTCAATAGTATTATTACAGTTAGCTAGTTTGGAAGATGGAAACGATTATATTCAGCAGCTGGAAATATTCACATTACTTTAATTTTAATAAAAAAGTGGATTTTAATAGTCGTAAGTATGAATTTTTGGGGAGAAACACACAACTACCAATTTTGTGGCGAATAACAGAAAAGAAATTAAACTAGTATTGGAACTAATTACTGTTGGCAGGAAATGATAAGTAAAGTGATAATATTACTGCAGAGGAATGAGTAATAAATTCAATTGTTTGAGTAACTAGCCCAACACTGGTTAGTGTACAAGAAATAACAACAACAGGAAATGATCCTAGGTGTGAGCCAGTGGATGTCAGTCGGTAACACTGAAATCGAGCTGCAACGATTAGTTGATTAATTGATTAGTTGTCAAATTAACCGACAACTAATTTGATAATCGATTCATTGAAAAGATGTCCAAATTCTAAAAAATTTAAAATAATTACTTATTGGCTGCAATCTTTCTGTTCCTACCCTCTGCCTTGAAGGAAGTGCGTATGGAGGTTTCTCCACTTCCAGAAAACAGCAGCTTCTAATCTGACCTGGACCTCTGTGGAGAGTCTGTGTTAAATACAAAGAACTAAACATTATTGGAGGCTCATACGGTAAGAAAATTATGAGAAACTGTGACCTATTCAAACAAGTCCAAGAAAAAAATTTATGATTTCGGGATATTGTCAAATAAATTAAAAACAGCTGGAAAACGTTGAAGAGTGCCTGTTACAAGGCTACATCTCATAACAACTAAAGTGGATCCGACCCCAGCAACTTTCCGTTTTATGAAAGCATGGCCAAATTTGTCACTTTTGCACGTCAGCTTTATTGATTAAATAAAGTTGGTTGCAGGCCTCATTTGAAACTCTACTGCCTATTCAGATTTGAATTCTCCAAAATGTATTTTCAAATAATTATTGTTGTGTTATATTTTTCTAAGCTGCTGCACCACAGGCTACAGTTCATTCATTTCACCTTCAGTGTGCGGAAACTGTGTCAAATGTTTTATGTCAGTTTGTCCCTTTTTTTGTCCAGCTGTGAGATGAAAACCCAGTAAGAAACACTGGAACAGTAATACAGTTACTGTTCAAATATTATGTCATCGTGTTACCGCTGCAGTAGGTTTCTGTGCAGGCTCTGAGGCAGGTTGGAGCAGAAAAATGTAGGCGACTATTTTGGTTGCCATGCTTTTTGAGTTGTTTTAATGATAAACAATGCAGGCGAACCTCCTCCCTGCTGGCACTGTTAAAGCCAGTGCAAACTGCAGAGGAGTGAAATAAAACCTGCTGTAAAACCAGGGGAAATTTGGCAGAGATAGATTTGCCAAACCCCTCGGCTGGCCTCACAGGGCTTCAGCCGTGAGACCTGAATGTGGAGTATTGTTGTTTTACTGTTGACTAATTACTCCGGTTCCTGTGGGTGTGTGTATGTCTTTGTGTGTCAGGATGTGTACACAGGAAAGTGTTGGTACTGTACTGTATATGTGTGTATGTGTGTATGCATTTGTGCTGAATGAATTCATCTCTCAACGTTGGCTGCAGAGATCTATTGCCTGCACACATTTCCTTCACGGATTTGCTCTCTTTCCCTGCACGCAACAACTTCTTTGCAGTCTGCTGTGTCTAGCGTAATCCTACCGACTGGGGCACCCACACACCCCAGAGGTGTACTTGTTGTCATATCTCACAGGTGTTCCTAAAGACTTCATACCATTGTTTTCTGTTTCTCCTTTAACTAGTGAAAAATACCTATATATGATCGTAAAAAGCACCCAATTCTGTCAATGTAGTAGATGGAACTATGTACTATTTAGTTAATGTTTGGCATGGGTCCTTATTTAAAGTATCACATGCTATCAGGAGTGGAGTAGGAGCACTCTGTCAGTCATTTTGAAGACGATTGCAGTTTTAATTAACTAAAATTTTCCTAAAATATCAATAATCTGTTGGGATTTTTCCCCAAAGTAATTACATAACTTATATTTGTTGTGAAGAAATAAGTTAACATTTTGTTATAATGGTAGTAATAGAGCAGTTTATTCTTGGGATCCCCAGTCTGTAGTGTTTATGTATGTTAGAGATCCCCTTTAGATATATATAGAAAGAGCATGCTTGTTTTTTTTGCAAAAAAGTAATAAGTAAAAATAATAATAATAATAATTTCCACATTCAAATCCACCATCTCCTCCTTCCCCCTCAATAAACCTTCCGGAATCTCTGAATATGCAAATGTTGTTCGTTTCTAAAGTTTTCCTGAAAACAAAGAAAATATGTCGCCAGTGAGCATCGTTAATGCTCTAGAATAGCTAAATAATCAGTCTGTTGTGTGTTCTCTTTCCTGTTCTACCTCACCTCTATATGATTTTAATTGTTACGATTTTTTTTTTTTACCTGGTGCCTTCTGAAATGTTTTAATCCAGGTTTGTAACTTTGTTTGTAATCCTTTGTAACTTTGTTTTGAAAAGTGTATAAATAAAGTTATTATATATTCTTCTTCTTCTTCTTCTTCTTAATATATGCAAATAATGTTATGTCTCACATAGATAAAAAAGCTCGCAACTGAAACATGATGCAGCATCCAAGGTGTGTCTGACAAAATCTGGGAAACAGAAAAAAATACAAAAAAGGAGACAGCTACTTTTTGGTGTTGTGGTCCACACTAACGGAATTTCAATCTGCTAGATTTGGTGGGTTTGTACGAGCAGACGGCTGAAAGCTGAAACACTAGCGCTCATACTGAACGCTCTATGAAATATGAAGTGGCGTGGTTGACTGTTGGCCGTGTTTACACTGGTGGTTTCCTAGCCTACAGAGGAAACAGCCAGTGAGTCACACTTGTATGTTGACAGGCTGGAGGTGTTATGTAAAATCTTGAAAATTCAGGTGTGGACGTAGTGAGGTTGTAACTGTGGGAGAAAGTGCGAGTGTAGGAAACGATAAGCCTAACTTAGACAGAAGGTGGTTGCATATGTGTAAAGTTATTACCATCAGTGTGAATACCAAGAGAATAGAACGGTTTCTAATAATCTGTTAGGGTGCATTCTCTGTAGACCAGTGTTACAATAACAGCAGGTCTATGATGGTCTAATCAACAGCATCTCAGCCCCAGCTCTTAAACTAAACCTGTCTCACTGGTGAGTCATTACTGTACTACTACAAAGACATGATGAGCAATGTTTAGCCCTACATGATCTAAATTCCAGTCCAGATCAGGAAGATTCCGATTCTGGAACATTTGTAAAAATACTACAGGATGTGTAGGGTTTTCCCCGATGTGTGCAGGGTCGACAAAAGAGCTGAGATCATGTCACTTCAGGTTCCACACGGGGGGGGGATTTCCTCCCCCAGATGCACACAGTATCTGTGCGGTCGGGTAATGTGGTTTAAATCCTTTAAATCCTGCCATCACAGACAAAATCTCTGGGATCCCCCCCCCCGATACTCATCGCCTTTTTCAATTTAGTTTGGTCTGATGGTCAGTGTAGTGGTGCGACCATTAACATTTCTTGCAGGAAAACAGACCTAGTAATATTATTCTCGTGAGCTTGGTCTAAGTCAGTGCTCCAACCTTTAGCTGTTCTTGCTAACCTCGGGGGGGTTAAAACATAAGGCCCTGTCAGAGAAGGGGGCAGTTTTAGTTCCTGCCTGTTGCAGGGTCACATTGCAATAGAACTTTTTTTATGAGCTAAAAGGCTTTGGGATTTACTGACCTCAGTGGTGAGCCAGGGTTCTTTAAAACAAATGAATGCTGCCACCTGCTGGTGAACAGAGAGAGACACACAGGCCTACACCAGACATTTACTGTAGTGGTCCCAGTGGGGCCTCACAAGACTCTATAACTAGGTCAACGAAGGGTGGACACAATGCTCACAATGAAAGATAATAGCAACAATAATAGTAATAGTCATTATTATGGGAAAACCTTACATTTCAGCACAAACGTATTTGATTACAGAACTTAAATGATTATCCAGGTAAGCTGATAAGTCGATTGTCAACTGTTACATCATTTCTGATTTCAGGTGAAATATCCCAATAGGTGGGTCCACCTTATGAAATGTTTGATTTAAAGCTTATCTTTGTATTAAACTGAATATCGCTAAAACAAGCATCTTGAATAAAGCACATTGTGCTCTGGGGATCCGTAATGTCCATTATTCACTATTTTCTGACATCTTATGGACAAAACAAAAGATCAATTAACAGTGATTTATTCAAACACCGTTGGGGTGGTTTTGAATTCAAATGGGTTAAACATCATTCATTCATTTCGACTTTTTTCAGCCATCAATCTACTTGTATCCACTATATATATTGTGACATTTACATGTTTTCAGGTTTTTTAATTGATCAAATTTCAAACGTAAATGTAAAATGATGATTTTACACACCACAAAAACAGAACAATGCTTTTTGAATAAGACTGCAAAATGACAGACAAGGCAACTTTTTACTGAAAAGTAATTTCCAGTTAGTCGACTCGACAGTTCCTAATGCAGTTACAGAAATATGTTCAGGCAACGACCAGACATACTAACAACGTATAACGAATGAGCCAACACTACGCAAAGGCCCTTCCCGCCTGTGACGTCTTTTTGCGTCGCTGTGTTGCGGTGATCGTTCGGGTCAGGTCGGAGGGCGATCGGACGCTTTCTGGACGCTTTCTGGAGGACAGTGAATCATGGCCCTCAGGGTGATCCGACTGCTCGTCCCCACGGCAGCGACAGCTTCACAGCGTGTGACGGTGGCCCAGAAGGTACAGTCGGAGAAGGGGCGCCCGCGGACCTTGTATCTGTCCTGCTTCTGTTTGACAAGGGCAAGCTAACTGTGCTAGCCAGCTGCCTAGCCGCTAGCGCCGCGGTCTGTCGCCGTCGGTTTTGTTTACGGTGTTGTCAACAAAACAAGCTGTCACTACAGCCAAGTAAATAATAAAGAAGTCGATGTTAAAGTATTTGAATCGACCCCAGTAGACAGTGATAACGTGACCACCTTGTAATGAAGTCATTGGGCTCGTGAAGCTAGCCAGCCCCGACGCTAAAAAAGAAAAGGAAAGAAAATAAAAGAAAAGGAAAGAAAAGAAAAGGAAAGGAAAAGAGAAAAGAAAAGGAAAGGAAAAGAAAAGAAAAGGTGCCATTTTCAAGTTATTTGTAGTCCTTTTTGTTACCTCAACACTCTGTAACGATACGGGACTCGGTCACACATCATATGTACAGTATAGTACAGTGTTCCTAACGCAAACACCTCTATGTGTTTGTTGTTGTTGTTGTTGTTGTTGTTGTTGTATCGCCTTCATCTAACGGAGGTAAACTCGGTACCGGCTGGAATCTGGAGAGGCGATCTGTATCACGATACCGGGCTTACCATAGAGTCGACCGTATATTGTGATACAGTAAGCAACATGGGGCTCTGCAGTTTCTGTAAATATCTAATGTTAGGCTGACTGTCCTGTGTGACGAACACACATCTGTATGCTTACAGTCCGAGTGAACAGATGTGTCAGAGTGTCTCAGATTGTTTGGTACCACTGCCTGTTGCCATTCATCATCACACCATCACTGAGCTCTATCGCATGCTTTGTTGTTGTCACTACTAATCACTTTTCCCAGGCTGAATAGGGAAGCTGTGTGTGTGTGTGTGTGTGTGTGTGTGTGTGTGTGTGTGTGTGTGTGTATTACCGATAGGGTGGAGAGAGTAAAATATATGTGCACACAGCTGCACTGGGGCCCACCAGTGGGTTGATCTGGCTCTGGTCTGACTAATCAGTTACTCCATCGGGGGAAACAGAATCGCGAACTATTTTGATAATCAATTAATCGTTAATTAATGTCAAGCTGTTTTCAGCCTCTTAAATATGGAGACGTCCTGCTCTTCTCTGTTTTCTGTCATATTAAACTGAAGATCTTTCACATTTAAAAACATCACCTTGGGTTTTGAGAAACCGGCGTGGACATTTCCCACTGTTTTCTGACATTTTATAGACCAAATAATTCACCGAATAATCTAGAAATAATCAACAGATGAATCAATGATGAAAATAATAGAGTGTAATTAAAGGTGGTGTTTTTTTGTTTCTCATCCAGGCTGGCGTTCACACAAGCTCAGTGAGAAGTTTGGGGTATGGCTGGTGGGCCTACGCGCTGGGCGAGAGGACGACGCCACGGTTTGGCCAGAACAGCAAAATCATCTCCGTGGATGGCAACTTGGCCTCAGGGAAAGGAGTCCTGGCCCAGAAGTTGGCTGACAGGCTGGGTAACTATCTCACTGTAGGGGTCTTCCACTAGAGTTTGCACCAGCATACACTTCACCATCGATTCCCCCAAGCCTTTAGTCAGGCAGAGGATGGGTGAAGGCGTTGTCGAGCTGCCTGGATAATTCTGTAGAAGATAGAGAATGTGGGAAAAACAATAACCTATCATTCTGCGTGTACAGGGATGCTCCACATGCCGGAGCCTGACGCTTTCTACGTGGACAAGATGACCGGGGAGAAGGAGCCACTTCCCGTCGACTTCAACGGGATGTGCAGCCTGGAGAAGTTCTACACAGACCCCAAAGCTGCCGACGGGAACAGCTACAGACTGCAGCTGTGGATGTACACCATGAGGCTGCTTCAGTACGCCGACGCCATCGAACACCTGCTCGCCACAGGTATCACCGACTCAGACTGACTGCACTTTCCTGTGCTAGTGTGTAAACCTCCTTTGTGATTGTCACATCCTATCAAGTTTGCAGCCTGTGTGCTATCAGTAGATTGAGTTCAGTCATAAGATTTAATGCATGTATTAACAAAAGTAACTCCTCTACATCCTGATCTGTTGTGTTTCAGGCCAAGGAGTGATCCTGGAGCGTTCTCCCTTCAGTGACATGGTCTTCCTGGACGCTATGTTCAAACAGGGATACATCAGGAAGGAGTGTGAGTATTCAGCGTCACAAACACCAAACCACTCGAACATCGGCAGCGCTAGGGCATCAGATATGGGGAAGCTGTGGCAGAGGTAGACAGAGGATCTTAACCCTGTAATCATATTTTACTGACATAATTCATAGCGAGTTGAAAATGAAAATATGTACAGCATTTTCCATCATAACGACAAGTATCTAACAGTCAGTAGGTTACACCATACGCACTATGTGAGTGTAAGCCCATCATGTTAGGTTCTGACTGTTGTGGGCCAAGGCAAACTTCACACACAGACCACCCAAAAAAAAACACTGCACATTTTACTGAGTTGTCCTAAAGCAGCTTCAAGAGTCAGAACACACCAGCAGCAGATCCAATATGCAACTGAAAAGAGAGAGGGTAACACAGCAGAGGCCATGCAGAACGCCACAAAGTCAGCACCAGATTATTAAAAATATATTCAAACTCACCACTGATGTTTTCAAAGCAGCACAATCTGACGCTTGTTACAAAAAACTGTTACCTCTTCTGTCATCCACAATTTTCCAGTTTAACTAATTCAGCTTGCTGCTGCAGAAAATAACGGCATGCTCATGTAGGTGACGCAGTGACGTGTGACAGAGAAGCTTCCCCACTGATCTCAGGCCAGTGACAGCTTAATTAGCCTATGCTGAATGCCACTGTGTGGGTAGTGAATGGCAGATCTGCTACTGTACAGTGTGATACTGACAGCACTATAGCTACATGAGGTAGCTGCTGAAGTGACTTTTCAGTGATAATAGCTTCTTAATAGCGCTGCCTGTGCATTCAAATACAACAGCACATATCAACCAATCAATCAACCATTAAAAGTTATATTTGTTTTTATTTCAGTAGACTGGAGTATAAAAAGTGTTGGCACATTTCTGTTTTCGTCTCATTTGCTTTCAGTTAGATAAAGTGCTAAAGGTAAATGTGAGATTTGTTTCTGACGTGTTGCAGGTGTGCAGCACTACAACGAGATCAAAGGCATCAGCATCTGTGAGTTCCTACCTCCTCACCTCTCCATCTACATTGACCTGCCGGCTGAGGAGGTGCAGAAGAAGCTGAAACAGAGCAGCAAGGTAGTCTCACATATACACACACACACACACACACACACACACACACACACACACACACACTGATAGCACAGGATACTGTCATCTCTGTAGGCTCCTGTCATCCTGCCAAAACATTTCAGTCCCACTCATTAATCAGTGGAGGGCGTAATCTTCCATTTTCAGCAAGAACAACTGAACAGAAAACATCTATTCAGCTACTGTAGATGAAATACTGGATGAAGCAGCGTATTGGTTTTATTTTCCTATATGATGTACATTTTTCATATTGCTGCTTGTGTAATACAACATTGGAGAAATATCTCTTGGAATGCTTTAAGTACTTTGAGCATTTTATCAGTTTATAGTGTTCATACAACTATTTTCCAATATTAAGCTTTGAAAAGAAACTGCAACTGTTCAGTGCATTCTGATTCATATATTTGATCATTTTTGCCAAAGCTCAAAGCACACATGATGACATTCAAATGTTTTTATATTCTATGGACTCCTGAGAGTAGAATCAGCCACTGTAAACCTAATATACCGTATCGTGTAAATCTCCAGAATCTTATAAAAATATTGCATTACCAATATAAACCCCCCCCCAGCACTATAATCATGCTTTTTAAGCTTCTCCCAACCATTCATTAAAATGAAATCGTATTATTCTCAGCCCTATCTTCAGAATGTGCCCCTGGCTTATCTGAAGAGCATTGAGGATTGCTACAAGAAGTCTTTCCTGAACCAGATCAGGTGAGCAGACATGAAAAACAGTTGTATAATTTGTAATTTGATATTTAGAAACTCTTAGCCAGATTGTGTTCACTTTTCCAACCAAACCTAAAGAGAGTTTTTATGTTTTTCTTCTAGGGAAACATCAGAACTGCTTGTTTACGATGCAGCCCAAGCCCTAGATGCCGAAAGGGTAAGACTATAGCGGACAGTAGCATTTATTCTGACCCCTAAAATTGACTGATTATTCGTGACAGACAGACTGACAGCTCCTTTATTGTGTGCCGTCCACAGGTGGCAGAAGACATTGAGTATTTGAAGTTTGATAAGGGGCCGTGGCTGGAGCAGGATGACATCAGCTACCACTACATGAGGAAGCTGTGAGTTTGTGATTGCTGTTATACACACTGTAATGCAAATTACCCAGCGGAAGATCAGATTCACACCAACATATCACAGCCTCAGCATCTGTTTGTCGTTCTGGATGAATACACAAAGCACCTGAAATGAATCACGCTGAGAGCTGGAAATGCAGATTCGTTGGGATTGCTTCTACCATGCAGGTTTTCACCATTTCTCCTATAAGCAAGTCTTTTTGTCTGTGTTTTTACAGCGTGCAAGACAAACAGAGGGTGGCAACCCTGACCCACATACCGAAGTTTCTGCCAGAGATAACCATCGGGGCCCACGAGTACGATGAAAAATACTACGCCTTTAGATCGGTATGTAGAGACAAGATGTTGTTTCTTGCCGGTTTGGCCCAGTGCCTTTGCAGCATGTCACTCCCCATCCCCCTCTCCACTTTATTTCATGTTTAAATATTCTGTATATATGCGGCTCCATTGCCAGCGTCTATTAGTGGCACTGGAGCACCATAATCTAACTGACAACTGAGATATGAATTATATAGAAAGAGATGGCTCCCAGTTGCAGCCCAGGTTGCACATGTCATGTTAGATGAAGCAGAACAGCAGGTGTCCTACAGTTAGAGGCAGTGTGTATGTTCTATTGTTGTTTCTTATTTTGCTATTGTCATTTCATTGCGTCACAAATCACACTCTTCTGAAGTTTATGTGAGAAACATTATGCGCCCTGGAGTGGTTGACAAGGCAGGGATGCCATGCAAAACAACTAGTGTTTTCTCACAAACTACTTTAATATGCTCTCTTTGCTTTCTCTACCACACACACTGGCAGCTCTGCTGCACTCTGCACACACACCGGCTCTCTGTGTCTCTCTCTGTGTCTGTTTGAGCTTGAGGTTTGCAAAACTGGACCTTCGCATGAACTCTGTGAGATTTTAGGTGAGAAAAAGGTAACACAGTAACAGAATCTAGATCCATATCTGATCAGCACTGCCTAGTTTGACAGTTTGATCCGAGTTTGGTGCGCTGTGCTGGCCAGACTCACTAAGAATGAGCTTTCCATCACAAGGTAGCCCCGCCCTAAAGCTGTATCATGCTGTAGAAGAAGACTTGAAACTAGCGACTGAGACCATAAACTCATTAGGAAACTGTTTACTGAGCTCATACATTTACGTAGAAAGCAGGTTTGCGACACTTCCATGTTGACTTCACTTCACAGACCCAGGAGCTCTGTCCATTCTAGATACTGTCAATGTTTCTAACCATTAGTGAGGTGGCTATTACCTTTCTTGATACAGTCATCCATGCTAGCATTTGACTGATGCAAGTCTCCCACCCCTGTCACCCCTGGGGTTGGATCACATAACGGCAGTCTCGACTAGCCATTATTGGACGAGAGATATTCACCCTAACCCACCTCAGGTAAATAAAGAATAAGCAATGATCAGTATGCTAATCCTGCACATCAGCTGGGGGTTCCTAATGAGACACTGGTTGCTGTGTTAATTAGCAGTGTAGTGTTCAGTGAAGTTGCAGGGGGATGTTGCCCTTTGGTTTTATGTTTTGTTGTTATCTGAGGATAAGTTACCTTGTGATGGGCACTTTATTGAAAGTTACAGAATCATACCGAGGAATGCTGCCTCTGTCTAAATCCTCACTGTAATCTTTTATATTGAGTAATTTTATTTCTCTACCCTTTGCCATGTGATGGAGAGATGGAACAAATTTTCTTCTGCTGAAATATTGAACGGCTCCTAGTTACAGGAAGGCAAATGCCAGATGTGGAATATTCTACAAGGCTTTTGGTATCATCAGTCTTTCAGGGAAACATTTGGGTCTGACCTTTTCTGTTTATTGACTGGAGACTTTTTTGTGTGTCCCCCTGCTGCAAAAATGAGGCTGTGTAATGCTACAGGAGGCTGTGACCTGACATTTAATTCTGAGCCTGGCTCTCAGTGGAGAGAATGAGAAGTGTGGCACACGGTGGCGTAATCTCTCTCAGCACATTTGAGTTGACAAAGTAAAGTCATGGAAGGACATTTGCAACACTGATGTATTGCAGCTTCCCTTGTACATTTTATGGAAAATAAGAGAGAAATCCTGAATTCATTTTGAGTTGTAACAAGTAAATGGTTGATTTGTTTTTTTTTATTCAGATGATTAAACTGATTAATTAGCTATCAAAGTTGACAAATTTTCTGCTGATCAAATAAACAACTATTATTAAATCCCTTTTAAATTTAGTGTTAAAAGAATCAAATTTAACTCTGCAGGCAACCCAGTTATCTTGATTAGATGCTTTCAGAATTTCAATTAGAACAAGTTGATTTTAAATACAAAATTGTTCTCCTGCTACTTAACTTTCCAACAACCCTGAGCTGTTTGTGTGTGATTCTGTGCTCAGTGTTAAGTCTTGTTCTTTTTTTTTACTTTTATTGAAATTTTTTTGTCCTTGTAGCTCCCTGGGAAGAGGTATGCCGCTGGTTATAATGAAGACAAGGGAGACAAACACATCTGGCTGAAGTGAAGGAGTCCACAGGCGTGTAACTAATTCTACCCTGGCTGATCTGCTCATTGAGTAAACTCTGAACCACACATCCAGTTGTCTTCTGTTGTACATCCTAAATAATAATATGTATGTATTAAAAGAATAATCTTTGAATCTACACAATGTCTTTCTCTTTTGTTCTCACTCTGCGTGCCAGAGAAGATGGAAAAACAGAAATTGCAGTTTCTTATATAGGATCATGAAAAGACACAGCTGGACTGGCTTATTGTTAATGTAGCAAAAGTCTGTTGTGTGGTTCTACCAGTCCAACGTGACCAATATTAAAGATCGCCTTCACACATATATTAATACATAATACAAATGGTCTCCTTGGAACAATAATGTGAATCTGATGTGTTTTTTTTCCTGCAAAATTATCATTTCTACATTCAAATCCTTAAAATATAATTTACTACATTAAATCTTCCAGAATCTCTGAATATACAAATGTTGTTAGTTTCTAAAGTTTTGCTGCTGGACACAAGATGTCTTCTACTTCACTGTAAAGTCCATTCTCAGTGGATGTGCACTGGTGGCTTCAAGTTTCTACATCACACGGTTAGGACTGACTTTCTAACTATTTGTGATGTCACAAATCCTGCTTGTAGGCCCCGCCCCTTAAAGTCAGATGTTCAGTGAACACATAGAAACTTTCCACTTTCAGCAGATGAATGTGAAAACATCCTTCTAGTTCAAACTCTGCACAGACAGCATTCAAACAGCTCACTCATTGATTCACACTGTGTGAATCCTGAACCCCAAATTTTCTCCAGCATGACCTCCTGGGAGGAAAAAAGAAGGCAATAAAGATACTGTTCCGTGCTGCCGAACAGTCCAAAGCCCAATCATCGAAAATACCTCTCTCTCAGTATTCTGGATCCAATGAGCCATTTTCTTCAAGAGCTCAGAAGTGTCTTCATTCCAACATTTGGCCAGAGCAACCCTTTCCTCTGCATTGCAGTATGATGTAGGGACATGACCCACAGGCCAGACTGCCTGCTGATTGAAGTATGAGAGACTAAAGTTCTGTAGTTAATTAAAAATGATATCTATTATCTCACCATATGAGTCTTCAACAGAAAGAAAAAAAAAATTGTAATAATAGGTCTGAAAATATCAAAGAGTAGTCATGGACTTTGAAAAGAAGTGATTAACAGCCCCTTCATTATCCTGTCCAATAAACGACCGGCTCCTAATTATCACAGTGTGCCTGAACTCAACATGCTGAATGATGTAGGCATTTCAGTCCAGCTTCACAAGACGGTCCAGGTTCTCAAAAGCTCTGCTCTCAGGGACAGGTAGGCAGAGTAGTTTTGAGCCAGGACGAGTTCTGTGAGGAAGCTCAGGACACCCCCAGGACAGAAAGCTGGTTCAGCCTCTGCAAACTTTGGCGGTTGATGAAAGTTCTTGCTTCCAGAGAAATGATGTTATTCTCTCTCCAACACTTCAAACCCCAAAGTGCCCCAAAGGAGCCCCATGGGAGATCTGTCAGAGGGTCCCTGGACAGATCCAAGTACTCTGTGTTGAATGGGAAGTTGCTGAGAGCAGTGGTGAAATTTCTGGCTGAGCAGTTACTATCGTTCAGGTCTGGGAGACTGTTACATCCCTTATAACAAGCTCAAACTGCCCCAGGAACTGAAGCAGTGAGAAATGATAGTGAAGGAAAAGTAACCTAAAGGCAGAAGAAACCAAGAAATGTATGTGCTTGTTACATTTCGCAGTATGATACACTGACAGTTAACATACACATCTATACAATATTTCATAAAAAAAACAAAACACTACATGTATGTGGTTACTTCAACAAAAAAGTTATGAGTTAAGTGTGAACAAAACAAAAAAAGTACTTTGCAGGTCACTCAAAGTGTAGCAAAGTAAGAAATCAACCCTTAGTTGGCCTGGACAGTCAGCAGACAGTGGAGGCCAGAGGCCTGCCAGGAGCTCAAAAAAGGTTGTCTACTTGCACTCCCAGTGCCAGAGCATCAGGGCTACTCAGACAAAAGGAGTGTGAATAATTGACAGCACAGCAGCCTGGCGCAGTCACATTGAGCTAATGGAGGATGGAAAACATGAACTCTGGAGAAGAGAAGTTGGCACAGTGTTCTGTCTGGTATAATGTAACACTGAGGTCTTATCGGGCCAGGGAGAAGGTGGATTTTTCTTGTAGAATGGAGTTGTAACTGTATAGACATTTCAGAAGTGGAACTGGTCTGGAAGCAGAAACAAAGTATTGGTGGAGTGGAACCCAAAGAAAATAAATGCAGCATGATGTCACTGTATACAGCCTAAAACAAATGCAAAGCTCCCAGGACATTTTCCAGGAGGACAAGACACAACCGCAGTGGTGCACAATGGTCCTGTTAATTTAGGCAAAGCCCATAAATAACAGTTCAAATGAAGTAGAATTTATTTTATTTTACAGAAAATTAATCATTTATCAACCTTTTTTTAATAACAGGCTGTATGTATGTTCATGTGACTGACTCAAAATAAAGGTATTAAGAAAAGTAAGCTATAATTCGAACCTACATTTAAAATAAATATGTTACATTAAATTGTTTCATGCGCCCATGATGAATAAAAAACATACTTAATATAAAGCATTTTACTGCACCAATGTGACAAAATGCCAAAACAACAGTTCCATATTTGTATCTCCAAGTGGCATATTTTTATATATTTGAGGTACAGTAAAAGCAGGTACAAATATAGAATTTTTTTGTTGAATTTCTCCAAATTGGTGCAGTAAAAATGCTTGATATTAAGTATACTTGTATTCTTATATGTGTAGAAGTCAAATATACCATCCATAGCCAGGAATTGTTGAGCAATATGTTTTTACTGTACCTCAAATATATGAAAATATGCCATTTGGAGGTACAAATATGGAACTTTTCTTTTGGCATTGGTGCAGTAAAATGCTTGATATTAATCACAAACCATTGTTTGACTTTCTGCCAAAAAACACTTGCAATACAAGCAGTTCTAGCAGTTCTGAACTGGTAACGTCACACGCCAGCTAGATATTCAAGTACGTTAGCTATGTTTCTAAACTCACAAGATCATTATGATGGATGTGTAAAAAAGCAATTATTTTTTAACACAACTGTAACTTGCAACTTTATAAGCTGATTTAGGTTGTTTCCCAAGTAGCCAAAGAAATCAGATAATCCTGCTTGAATTCAAAGGTCCAGTGTGTAACATTTACAAACATCTATTGGCAGACATTGAATAAAATATTTATAGGTGAGTTGTCATTAGTGTATTATCACCTGAATCGTTGTGTATTTCATGACCTTAAAATGAGCCGTTTTTCTCTGTAGAGGGAGTGTGTCCATGTTGCTACGGTAGCCCAGAACAGACAGTCCATACACTGGCTCTAGATAGGGCTTTTTGTGTTTTTTGCCGCAACCGTGCTTACTTGGAAGTCAAGTGGTATTCAGTTAGTTGCAATATGCAACTTCACCATGAGATGCCACTGAATCCTCCACACTGGTCCTTCGAATTACTTATATTGTAATATAGGGTTAGAGTTAGGGTTGTAATGAGCCCTTCCAATGGGTCCATTCATTGAGGTCTAACTCATTTCTGACTTCCAAGGACTTACATTGTACAAACAAGTTGTTTCGCTTTGAACACATCATACTAGACTGTCAGAGTTAATTTATCCACATTTCTGACACATACTGAATATATTTTATTTTTTTACTTTATCTAATACCACCCTGCCTTCCCTTGGCCCAAGAGATTCAGCAATATACAGTTAAAATGAAGACCCTCATTTTGGAGATTTAATAAAATCCTGTCATTAATCAGTAGCCTGAGTTTGTACCAATAAACTGAATGGCTTTCTGGGTTTTGGAGGCAAATTATGGTTATAGGAGCTTTTTCGTGTGTTAGGGATTTAGTAAATTGACATGCCTGCAGAGCACTTCACTAAAAGCCGACTTTAAATTTTCATCTAAAACTCACAGCTTCCAGGATTAAAACTAATTTAGTGCTATCCAGCAGACTGATGTTGAACATGTTGCGCCAAAAAGCAAATTTCACTCCATAGAAATTCCTTGGAAAGCCTTGCAGTGACTCAGTAATGGAGCTGAGGGAAGATTGGTGCTGTGGTTGATTTCTCAGCTGCAGTGAGCTGTGGGCCGGAGCCTGGAACAGAAAACCAGAGCAGGAGGGGAAAGGAAGGGGAAGTTATTGTAGTCTTAATGATGCTAATTACCATTCATTAAGCACCTCAATTTAACTGCTTAGTAAAATAATTTCTTCATGTCTTTTTCAGGATGTCAGAGAAAGGCTTTAAAAAGGAAGCTGGGTTTGATGATAACCCATCAGGCTTTTAGTCTGGAGGCAGCAGATGGCAGTGTTGCTATCTGGATACATGTGGTCAGAAGGCAGTGTCTAGGAGAGAGTAATTGTTTTGAGGGTAGGTAGCTCTGGGCATGTGTGTCTCTGATACATGAGTGTGAAATTTGTCCTAACACCTTCCTTCTCACTTTGGCTGCAAGATAGGTGCGTAGAGTTGCAAAGTGAGAGGATCCGCTGGCTACTGAATTATTTCCCCCACTTATCCCATTTTAACACATTATACGTGCGTATAGAAAATGCATGTCTGGACAGACAGAAACACAGGTGGTCTCCTGGATGATTAACAATGCTACAGGTATACAGTGTCAGTCTAAATCACTTCAGCGCTGGTTCTGACAAAATCATCCTCTTTTTCAACAGTTTCTTACAGCAGATGGCTCTAAATACTGCAATACCCATGAACCTTAGCAGCTGTTGCTATAGAGAAGCAGCCAGTCACTCGTGAAATCAGGTGTGGTGCAAATTCAATATGGTTCATTGTTTCACACTGCAGATTGCCACGCCCTCGGTTCACCCTCCCCTTTCAAGTGCGAAGGAGAAACTACCATGGCTGGGCACGAAAAATGCAAACAGGTGGTTCTGTGTAACAAACCATCTGGTGCAGTCAGGTTAGCTGTCATCCCCCCTCTCTTTCCCTTTCTTTCCTTCTTGACCTGTCCTATCAAATAAAAGAAAAAAGCCCCAAAACATATTAAAACAACAACAACAACAACAACAACAACAACAAGAATGAATAGTGTATTTGTTGGGGA